AGAGTTGAGTTAAAGGGAAATAACCGAGACACCCAGAAGAGGCATGGCACGTAGAACTGGAACAATCTACCCCGGTGGACGAAATAAATGGTTCGGTTCGAAATTCCAATCACCTGAAAAGGGCTGGAGCGTACAACGGTCGAAACGTTGTGAATATGGCAATGAAGATGAGGATAACAGTCCGAGTAATGTAAATAATGCATGTAACTCGCATCTTAGGCTTTTTCTCTTGCTGATGACCATAATTTTTGTCTACTTGATGTTGATGGTTAGTCTTTTTTTCTCGCTTTCCTTTATTAACCTGTCTATTTTCATTAGTGTTATCGGCGTATTTTATATTGCTATACTTAATCCATTAATGTCCACTTTGAAATCCGTATTATAAGAATCAAAATAAAAATCAGTTATTAATGTCAGGTTTCTAACTATAGCGCATTAACGTCCACTATTCTAAAACTAGGACGTTGGGCGTGAATGGCTTAAAGCAAGACGCTACTGCGCCCTACAAAATAAAGTGCACATTGAAAAAGTAGCGAAGTTATCTAAATTTTCGTAATTAAATTATCTCGCATTCTTCCGTTAATTTTCCTTTTTTATGCTTGTTTATTCCTTGAACAAACTCAAATAATTTACGATCTGATTTTTTACGGTTTATTAACCCTTTTATGCGTTATTTATTTAAAACATTTTTTGAAGGTTGTAACAATAATTCTTTATTTTTGTGAGTGGATATTGCTATAAATTTTTTTAGAATGCCAAATATTTTTCGAGATGTAAATCCTACTATTTAACCCATAGTTGTAGGAAAGAGATGGATTCATACCTTTCCTAAGAGTATTTGAACGTAAGTGAATGTAATGATTGTAATTCGAACTCGGCTTTGCGATTTCTCGTTGCAAGCCGCTGTCCATTACATCACTCGCACGTCCGTGAATTTATGAAAATTATGAAATATGTATTGTTATAGTCTCTTAGCCGGACTTTCGATTTCCAACGTGATATAGGAAAATCGAGTTTCCTTTTATTTTGTTGACCAGTGTCTGTCAGCTGATCTCTCATCTGACCTAACTTCAGCTCAATGGTGAAAAGACGGACTGATATCTTTCAATATATCTAAAGTCAAACGCGTAACATTTCATCACCATAGAGCAAATCCATCCTGATAAGTGGTCATATCCTCAAATAGGCTCTTTGTCTCGAACACCCGGTGGATCTAAAGCCTACCCTCAACCTCAAATGGAACGCGTATATTTGCGCCATTGCAAAAATATCTGGAAGAATAGTTGCTTCCTTTTGTCCTGCTGCCATGTTGCTATGTTTACAAGAGTCAGATCAGAGTAATGGAGTGTTGCTGCCATATCTGGTGTTGAACCTGCCAAATCCTTACTCTTTAGCCTCAACAGAATTCAAAAGTGATTATGCAGCTTTGTTGGTAATAAATTATTCTCCTCCCCTGCAACATGTATCCCACAAATGGAATGTTGCCAGTCTCTCATTATTCTATTACTATGGCAGATGTTTGGACGTTATAGTACCTAGTTCCACTAGTTTAGACCTTCACTGATAAGACCCACTATGTTCACGCTAGCAAACCATCCCGTTAGTGTTTCTTTGATAGGAGTAAGTTCCACTTGGACAGCTAAGATCTGTTGCTTTGTGGAACGCTCCTGAGAAGTTTGTTCTCTGAAAACTACAATATTGGTCTCTTTAAGTCCAAGGTCAACTGATGTCTATCCTATTTGTCATCATCTTAATTCCCCCTTCCTTATAATCTCACTTAATAACCCTCTACCTTGAGTGACCCTTAGGCCTTGCATTGGGTGAACTATGAATAAATAAAAAAAAAAAAATCAAGATGGTTATATTATGACATTTAGCTGGAGGAGAAGGAATTGATTCATACCTTTCCTAGGAGTATTTGAGTGTTTACCAGAGTCAAATCAGACCAATAATGGCGTATTGCTGCAATATCTGGGATGGTGCTGCCTAATCCCCACTCTTTAGCCACAACAGAGTTCAAATGTAGCTTTTTGGGTGATTAATTTTTCTCCACCCTGCAATCCTTATCCCACAGACAAAACGTTGCCAGCTTTTCGCTACCATATCGCTATTACTATGGCAGATGACCGGACGAGTTACATCCCTTAGTCTCACCAGCTCTGACCTTCACAGCTAAGACCCGACATGCCATGTTCATGGTGGCAAGCCATTCATATTTCCTTCGTATTCCTTTGATAAAAAGCAAGTTCCACTCAGACAGCTTCATCCCCAGAACTGTTAATGTGCGAAAAAAACTCCCGAGTGGATGCTTCCCTGACAACTACAACCTCGGTCTCAAGGTGAAAGGTCAACCGATATCTATCCTACACATCCTTATATTTCTCTCATATTTCCTTTTTTCTTACAACAATCTCACTCAGTAATCCTCTACCTTGAGTGGCTCTTGGTTCTTGTATTTAGCGAACTAACAGTAAAAAACAAATACAATATTCATGCCAAATATCTGTGGTTGACCGTAACCGATATTTTCAAAGTTATTATTGTAAATCACTTAAATCTCGAATTTTCTTTGAAAAATATTTGTCAAACAATTATTTTAGACGTCAAAACAAATCTTGAGTTATATTTTTAAGTAGTCTCAACATGTTTTATTAAAATTATTGGATTTATTATAAAAACTGCAGTCTGAAGTTATGCTAAACCAGAAAATATCTTTTTACTTCAATAACAAAATAATAAAACCATCATCAATTAATCAACACCTCTAATAAAACAATTAACAAACATATATGATAAGTCTTTGAAACATTTACGTTTTAATACAGGGACTTTTTTCTCGATAACCGTCAGTAATCTATTATTCATTGATTTTGTTAATTTTTTACTTCATTTCACTGACATGGTGGTTTTAATTGTTTCCCATAATTCTGCTTTGCTGTCATATTGTTTGCTACCTTCATATAATTTCATCTACACAATTAACCAAAAATTTTAGATTGGATTCAAATCAGGACTTGATTTTAGTTATTCTATTATCTTCTCTCTTGTATGCCTTTTACGCTCATCAATTCACGGGTAAGCTTAGATACATGTGAAGTCGCATAGTTGTGCCTAAATACACACTTCACTTTGAAACTGCGGGGTTGGGACTTCTACCATGTCTATGAAGTCGCAGTCGCTAACACTGTTCAGTTTAACTCTTTCATCAACTTTGAATGTTTCAATAATGATTTGATTGACAATTCCAGACCATATCACCAGACTGACGCTTCCTTGATGCCTTTTTGTTTTAGCCACAACCACATCTACATAAGATAAAATCCATGCTATGGTCCCATCCATCATGTCCATCGAGTGTCACTCGAGATTCGACCGTGAAAATTACTTTAGAAAACTATTTACATTACTCGGACTATTGTCCTCATCATTGTCGCCATATTTATTACAACGTTTCGGCTGTTGTACGCTCTGGCCTTCTTCAGGTGGTTGGAATGTCGAACTGAACCCTTTATTTCGTTCACTGGGGTAGACTTTTCTGGTTCCACTTGCCATGTTTAATGGATGTTAGTTATCAGTTATCTCCTCCAAGTTCTCCACTGCCTTAACCGGGTATTGAACTCACACTCTTTGGGTCCTGTCACTGGATCTAACCAACGCCTTTATCCTCAAGGACACATCGCACATTATGGATTTATGTAAATAAACAATAATGTAAATAGTGTACATAATATCTCATCTCAGAAATATAGACAGATACTTTAGAAAAGTCAATTTTCGTGTATTTTTTGTCCAATTTTGATGCTTTACTGGAAGGAGTTTTACATGGAAATTTCTTAATAGATCCCAATTAGCGAAGTATTTGACACTTTTTGTCCTTCTCGACTCCCTCAATTCCAGCACGTTCAAAGATCTGAGCACTGGACAAAAGTTGTTGTTTTGCTGTAAGTTTTTACGTTCATCTCGAGGAGACAAGTACTTAAAGTCTTTTCTTTTGCTTCTCAACTTAGTTATATTTTCAACAGCCATCTTTATCGTTCGATTATCCTTTGCTATCTCCAATGTGGATATTTCCTAACTCAATAACATTGTTATTTTCTGTTTTTCAACATTTGTTTAATCCTTAATTCATGTTTCAATATACATTATGGAAAAATAGTTTTTATTAGATTTCTGATGCCTATACATATAAAACTAATATTAGTTTATAATATTAGTTTTATATGTATAACTTCAGACTGTAGTTTTTATAATAAATCCAATAACTTTAATAAAACATGTTGAAACTATCTAAATGATTAACTCAAGCTTTGTTTTGACGTCTAAATTTATTGTTTAAAATTTGACTATTTTTTTTCAAAGCAAGTTAGAATTATTGAGGTTTATGTGATTTGCATAATAACTTCAGACGACCGGTAGATCATCTTTTTTTCTTTTTTACTTTTAATACTAGAGTATTATGAAGTTGGACTAGTTACAATTGATACTGATTATCTACGCTATCTGAGTAAACATTGATACCTCAATATCTCATTTAAATCATTCATTTTTACTTATAATATTTCAGAAGTAAAGAAAAGGCAGTCGTGTCTTTCAAAATAGCTGATTACTTTCCGCACAGCCTTCGTATTTCTCGCCCTGGCTGCGACATTTATTTAAAATAGATTATTGCATATTTAAGTGGTAACATATGTATGGACTCGTAATTTTGCTACTATCCGTAATCCGTAATTACTGCAGACATTTCTTTTTAAAGTGGTACTCAGGCTCAAGAAGGAATCCTCGTAAATTGAAAGCAGACTAGTTCTCCCTCTCTTTTTGTGATTTTATCTTGTAACGCAAAATAATTCTGAATTCATATTGATCTTAAATTCCTATTTCTATTCTAAAGAACTTTTAACGAACAGGTGAGAATAGTTTGTCAAACACTATAATTGATGAATATGATTAATTACCGGCTTTGCATTCGTAACAATATTAAATGAATTTCAGGAGAAGGAGGCTTACGGACATATCAAATTGAAACACCTGTTCACGTACGATCACCGAAGTTAAACAACGTCGAGCATGGCCAGTACCTAGATGGGTGATCGCTTGGGAATACCTGATGCTATAAACTTGAATGTGCAGATGATGCAATGGATAACAGCTCAGAATTGGAAGTCGGTATGACGAGATACAATTCCAGTCGGGTTCTTTATACACAATTACGCGCAAATACCTTTGGGAAAAGTAGGAATCCACATCTTCTCTCCGCAGCTATGGGTTAACTAGTAAGATTAGAGTAATTAACTACTTGATTGAAAAAATATCTCATTTTCGCTGCAGATGGATCATTCTGTCACAAACTGTTTGGATCAGGATTGTAAACCTTCAGGTTTTGGTGATTACACATATCAATGAAAATAAGTATGAATGAAATATTCTTTATAGACGATATAATTACTTTCATCTCGCTTTTTGATGAATGCTACGCTTAGAAAAATTATTAAAGATACAAGTAAACATATTATTATGGTTAGAATGTTAACACTAGGATGGCCGAGATGTCGTTTTCGACACCTTCAAATTTTCAACAAATTACTATGGAATAACTAGTTTTGGTTCGATGCTGAGGCTTATGGATATTATTGAATTTTAGCAAAGATGCTTAACAGACTTAATTCTTTAAAAAATATTCAGTTGAATAGCTGATATTTGAGGTTTTACCTTGAATGGCCGAGGTGTCGTTTTTGACACCTAGTCTATTTATAGGATAAATGCATTGAAAAATTTCTCACAAGCAATAATACTTGTGTTTATGTCCCCTATCTATCTATTTATCTATCTATACACACACACGCACATAATTTATATATATATATATATATATATATATATATATATATATATATATATATATATATATATATAATCACTTTCTTTCAGTATGAGGTATACTAATATTTGTGAATTTCTTTTCAGACTTGTTATTCCTGACTTGAATATTGAATATATTAAAGATGGCTGCTTCACGGCGTAATGTAAATAAAGATGTCAAAGGAGCTGGCCATCCTAGTGTTAAAAGGACACAATATGGTAATAAGACTCGCTATTTCCTTATAAGGAAACATTCGGCTTTCAATGACCGAGCAGCCAGTGCCAACGTCGGTTGAGATTTATAAAATATTTCTATTAAAACAGTTTTTCAGAAAAATAGGTTTCTCAAGTCCAATAGCTGTTATCGCTTTTTCTAGTTCTGGTGGAAGTTTCCTTCCTAACAGTTTGTTTAGAGTCCTGCGGAATGTCAGCATTGTGATTATGTCATTATTCACACTTCGATTTACATAGGCTATCCATTTTAGCTGCTGTTGAAAGTCAGCAAGTGATATGGATTCTCTTATTTCGGACAGTTCTTTGCGATTCTGTAGCGCCAGCTCAGAATGTTCGAAGAACGATGGTCCTCACAGATATCCGCAACTTTAATTCGTTCGAAGCCATTTGTATACAGCTTACAGTTTACATATTTCTGAACGAGTTTGACAATAATCTAACGAGGCTAGTTAAGAAGATGACTTGAGTTTTTAAGTTAATGTTTTAGTTCCGTAGCAACTTAAGGTTTTGGGCGAAACTATCCATATGTTCAATTTCCTCATCGTGCACTCAATGACAAAAGTAAGATTGGTTAGTGAAAATAACGTGATAGCCACTAGTCCATGATGTCTCTAATATATATTTATTTAACATGGTTAAACTGTCATAAGATTATAATATGATAATATATATCCCAGCGAGGATAGAATTCATTACAACAGAAAGTCGGTCTGCGAGACGAGCTTGTTAAATAATACGTTATAGGTGGCGCCATTCTGACGCTTGTATATTATTGTCGAGGATGGATATTGTCTAGGGTTGATAGTCCAAATCCTTTTACGCATTCACCTGTCGCGAAGGTTGAAGTCAAATGATATCTTTTTCTTTTATCTAAATTTGCATCATCTTCATACGTTTTATACAAACATTATTATACGTCAGATATATATATATATATATATATATATATATATATATATATATATATATATATATATATATATGTATCATTTTTAAACTCCTAAACGAAATCTCATTTACTTTTTCTTAAAATCTTTTTCATTTAAAGCTGTATAAACATTTCACAAGAAATCTGTATTATTTCAATACTTTTTCTATTATATGTCGTCTTCCTTCAGGATATGAACGATTATAGCTCTCCACAGTTTTCTTTCTCTTGTAGCTCTAAGCAACGTTTTAAAATCCCTCTTTGTTTCTGCTCTGCGATCACTTCACAAAATCTTATGAGGCAGTTTAATCGCTGTTTCCTCCTGCTCCTCTTTTCTTCAACATGTCCTGGGAGTGTTAAATTTACCAAACCGTCTTTCCTCATTATGTGTTTCTCAGACATTTCGAATGTTTCTGATTTTAACCATAAGTATCCTTTTAGTTCCATTTTCTTTAAAACTAGTGATCGGGAAAACATCATGCCGGGAGTCTGTTCCGCGAAGAAACAGTGTCTGGAAAGAAGCTGTTCGTGTGGTACTTCCTCCTTATTAATGGAATACGAAGGGAATGAGGATGATTCCCCATTGTGTACGTGACAAGATGGGTTCCAGTTGCAAAGGTCAGGGTTGGTGAATGTAGCTCGTCAGAACACACACCATGGAAACAGTGATAAAGTAGCGAGAGGCTCGCGACGTATTGCATGTTGGAAAGGGGTTGTAAGGTGGAAAATAATTCATCACCCAAAAGGACGCTTAGATGCTTTTGAACAAATGAGGACTGATCAGCTCCAGCCTAGTTATGGCAGCAATATTCCAGTTTTTACTCTGACCTGGCTCTTGTAGCAAGGGGAGTCAGATACTGGAGCGTTACAATGAATCGACCATTTTTCCAGCAACTTTAGCAATAATCGCATATATGAATTCCACCTGAGGTCTGGGGTGAGCTTGAGTTCCAATAGACGCTCAAGGAAAAGAGCCTCCTGGAGAGAATATCCATCCATCCATCATGATAGGTTAAAATTCAGTCAGCTCTTTAGGGAGTGGAAAATTACTAGTTTAGTTTTAGACGTACTAAATTTTACAAGCCAACCCTTTTCCCATTGAACCATCTAGGTCATAGGAGAAATGAATTGCTGGGTTCTTGTCATCCAGATTGTGGAAGGTGAATCAATAAACTGTTGTATCATCCGCATAGATATTCACTAAAGATCTGTGTATGCAGACCATTAATATAGAGTAGAAAGAAGTTAGGACCGAGAAGATAATCCTGAGTAACGCCGGCATTGATCTCATGGGTTTCCGATGACTGGCCGTTAACATCGACCTTCAGCAATCTACCTGTTCGGAAAGATCTGGTCGTTTGCACTTATTTTCTGGAACGAAGCTTAGGCTTTTACCGCATATAAGACTTCTATAGGCGTTTTAGAAGCTAATGTTTCGAAAAGAACATAGATGAAGTTTTCTGATTTATTTGGAAAATTAATAGCAATATTGAATTTAAACAAATGATGCAGCCCAACTGAATAGCAGCTTACGACCATATCACGTTGAAACATCGGTTCTCGTACGATCACCGGTTAAGCAACGTTGAACCTTGCCAGTATCTAGATGGGTGACCGCTTGAGAATACCAGGAGCTGTAAGCTTGGATGTGTGGGTAGTTAAGTAACGTCGATTCTTGTCAGTTCCTAGATAGATGGCTGCTTGGGAATAATAGGTTCTGTAAGCTTGTATGTGCGGGTGGTGTGGCTGACGGCCATATCATGTTGAAACACCGGTTCTCGTACAATCACCGAAGTTAAGCAACGTCAAGCCTGGTCAGTACCTACATGGGTGGCTGCGGGGGAATAGCAGGCGCCGTAAGCTTGGATGTGCGAGTGGTGTAATAGATAGCGGCTCGGGGATGGAAGTCAATGAGTCGAGTTCTAAATCCAGTCGGCTTCGTTATATTCACTTACGCGTAAGTAACCTTGGGAAAGGTATGAATGCATCTCTTTTACTCCCAGCTATGGGTTAATTAGTAGGAATTGTATCAGTAAAATCGTTATTATCTCCCCCAAATTTTTACAATTCGAAAATATATTTTGGCTTTAAATAACTTGAAAAAGGTTGATAAAGCGTAAAAAATAAATCAGTCAACTCAAAAGCATTTTTATAGATTGAGGCCGAGAATACAAATTTAATCTTCTGTTTAGTTCTCAGTTTCAGGAAAAAGTGAGGTGGGCTGAAGCGAACCCATCCCTTCCTATAGCACAGTGAATGCGAATGAAGTATTTTCCCAAGATGGCACCCGCAGAAGTTAATAATATAAAACTATCGTATTTCATTGAGTTAGAAATAGATCAATAACGTTGTTTGTATAATACTAATATAGAGTAATTGTATCCCCAAAGAATACATATGACAATACCTGTGAGAATGTTCAATGTTGACGTGTCACATGTGATACTCTTTTTAGTTCTCGTATTTGACCATATATTAATATAACAATTGGTATAGATTTATTCGTTAATCTGTTTATTTGGCACTATTGAGAGGCCCTCAAATTAAAAGAGTCGTGTATTTTCATGACGGTACCAATCAGTGATCTATCATTTTCTGGCTTGGCCTCTGTGGTTTCTTTACTACAGGCGGGATCACTAATAAATAAGTAATCTTTGACATGTTGCCACTTAATATGGCGATTTAGTCGATTACGTATTCAAGCAATGCAAATTTATTTTCTATCGAATAATCAGGCTCGACGCACTGTGAGATAATGTTTACAAACATATTTACATAAGTCGTTGCGCCACGCGCTTACGCAAAAGCACACACGCGTACGTATATATGTATGTAGAGATGTTATGAGTCGATTCTTGTGGCTAAGGGAGTTGCGTATTTGGCTCTGGCTTGGGTAGTCGGTGTTCGAATCGATTTTAAAATTGATATCGTATGCTGTTTATCGAGGAGGCAACTTCCCACACCTTTTTGTAAGACTGCAAGCGTTAAAATTAAATATGAAACTATCTTAGCCATTATATTGTGTCATGATGTTCACACACACACACACACACACACACACACACACACACACACATATATATATATAGTATGTATCCGTTTATCTTGTGAGATAATGGTAGCATTAGCACTCCACTCTGTTTAGTCAAAATCCAGTCCTTTGGTAGTGAGGCTCGAGGAACCCCTCCAGTGAATAGGCCTGCGTGATGGTATATAGTGCGCTGCTCAGAATACATGACCTCTCCTCCTTTGTCGGCTGTACCAACAAGATCCAAAGGAATACAACGCATTACATTTGGAAACGGCTTGGTTGCATAAATTTACGGAAGTTTTTTAGTGTTGATATACGACCGTCTTCAGGGCTCCACTCTTTTCGGTCTGGATTTACTTCCATAGCCTTTTCCGTGCTTGGGTATGGCCCCAAGGCAGCGGAGGCTTAACACCAGAGCTTTCCTTCTCCTAGATGGACTGCTTTTCCAGGTTGACTAGTTCCATCTACTCGGAACAGCGACGTAATATAACTGAGCTATTAAGTATATATTAATAAATATACATATTATTCCTCACCACCGGTAGCACGACTCAGATTTTCATGCACAGCGCAATCTTCAGGTGCTGAGTAGAGACTGACCGTTACATAATTTAAATGTTAATAAAAATATCTGGTTAATGCAATGCTGGCGCAGTCCATATATTATACGGGGGATTACGAGTTTTTATTAAAAAAATATTAATATATCTATATATATTGTATTTAAAATAGACGGGATTTATAATTTATATTTAAAATAAATGGGGATTAATGCTTTTATATTATATTTAAAATAAACGGGGATTAATGGTATTTTAAAAATATATATTAAAATGACGGGCCTAAAACTATAAGAAAATTCTTTTTATTTAGAATAAACGGGATTTATATTTTATATTAAACATAAACGGAGATTGCTGTATTTTGTAAAAAATTTTGCATGAAAATAAACGTACCTAAAATCACAAAAAAAATATTTTTTATTTAAAAATCTTTTTTAAATAAAAAAAAATATTTTGCATTTAAGATAGGTGGGATTAAAGATTTTATTTTATGTTTAAAATAAAATAGGATTAATTATATTGTTTTTTTTTTTTTAATTTTCATTGAGATAAACCGACCAAAGATAAGTGAACGGAAGAAAATAAACAAAGAAAGTACAGTAGAATTAATCTGGATAAACGTATTTCAACGGATAATTATTTTTATGCCTATATGTAACAATCAATTCATTTCTCTAGTTTAATAAGTTTGGGTTATTTAAGTGTTTTAATTTTTTTTATTTTTAGATACGCGTTTATTTTAATGTAAAATTAAAAAAATACAATTAATCCTCTTTTATTTTAAATATAAAACATAATTCCCTCCTACCTTAAATACAAAAATATTTTTTGTATTTAAAATAATTTAAAAAAAATATTTTTTGATTTTTTTATGATTCTTCCAGCATTTTTTACGATGTCAGGAATATACACAAGGCAATAAAGCCACTAAGACACAAGGGTTTATTATTGAGAGAGAACAATGAAAAACCAGTATTTGAGAAGAAATAATTCATCATCGTAAATCAATGTTTAGCAAGGTAGATTCATAGACTATGACCAGTGTAGTGAAATTGGCCGGACTGAGTTAACTTTAATCAAAAGCTATAAGATGCATTTTAACTGAAATTATTGCCACATTTTATTTATTTGAAATGATTACAAAGAAAATTGAATAGTAATGATATTCTTAAAAACAGAGGTAGCTATCTGTATGCGGTTTGTAAATATATAAGGCAAAATCTTTTAATAGTTAACTTTGAATAATCCCCCAAAAGAAAACACGATTGCATGCTTAAATTTTAATGGTTCAGCAAATTTAATAACCAATTGTACTTACTTTTTTATTTATTTATTTATTTTTTTTAGCTTAAACTTCTAATATTTTAGTAATCTTTTACTAATTTACACTATTTACACGTAGACTCTTGTCATCATCTCTAATGTTATTATCACAACGTTTTGAGCTTTGTAACCTTCGGTCTTCACCAGGTGCTAAAGGACTTGGGTAACGTTCAAGGAATTTCGAACTGGTTATCCGGATTGACAAGCAGCTGATGAAGGCCGGAGGGAACAATGGCTGAAACGTTGTGATAATAACAACAAAGACAATAATGTGCGTGTAAATATTTTAAGAATGAGAATGTAATACTATTGTATAAAGATAATATAATAGTATTTTAATAATGATAACTCCTCATGCTAGAAGTTTATACAAAAAGATTTTACTAGATTAGCACAAATATCTACAGAATTTCATGCTTTTCATGCACACACAGGTCTTTCCAATTCATTTCATAAATTTTCAATTGAATCCATAATCAGGACTCTCTAAAAGCGAAGATAAAAAATTTATATTATTTCTCTGAAGATATTTCCCGACTAATTTAGAAGTATATTTCAGAAATATAGTCTTACGAGGCCAACATCCTCGTTGTCCGGCTCTGTGAAGGTGGTGGTAAAACGTTTATATTCTTTCTTTGAAGATATTTCTGGTCGAATTAAGGAATGTTTTGGATCACTGATATGAATAAGGTATCAACCATTCAGTTTCAAATTTCTAACATATACTTTCAAGTTGATATTCCATATTTCACAAGTTTCCTTTTTTTTTATAACTGTAACATTATTTATTCCTAAACTTCATTTTCTGTTTGGAAAGGCGCCCCCTAAATTATGACACGTCCTCCTTCCATGTTTGTTGCAGAGATTGTGTTCTTTGGATTGAAAAACTTGACGTTTCTAAACAAATCAATGTCATTAAAAAATGTCGTTCTGTTTTATCTTACCAAATTATTATATCCTAGATTGATATGGACTTAATATGTTCATTTGTAAATGCTAAGTCATATTTGAAATAGCCTTTACAAAAAGAGATCTTACATGGTCGGCATGCTCATAGGCCTGATCTGTTCTAGTAATAATATTTCTTGTTATTTCTACTCTATTGGCTTCCAAATTGTGCCCGAGATCCTTATTCTTAATATTTTGGTTATTTTCAACAGATCTTAGAACGTTATGTTCTGATCTGACCGACAGTTACTTCTTACAACCACACCCTGATTTATTCGTAACAGTGTTGTCTCTCTTGAGATTTAGAATGAGGTTTTGAACAATTCCTCCCCGCCCCGCGCCACAAAGCAAGGCGATAATGCCTCTAAGACGTAGGGGTTACTGAGAGTGAAAGTGAGTTTTAAGAAAACTTTAATGAGGAGGAAGGACAATAAAAAATCAAGATTCAGGAAGACAGAAGATGGCGATTGACGTTCCATTTAAATTTTTGAAGATTGTAGTTAAAAGGAAAGCTAGAAATAAATCGATAGGGAGTTCCAGAGGTAAGAAGTGCGAGAAAATAAAACCGTTAGAGTAGAAGTGGCGATTGCAGCGAGCTAGTTCAACAGTAAAGCAGCGAGACCTAGTTGCCAATCTAGTAGCACGCTTAAATTTATGTCGAGGTTCTAAAGAAAAAAAAACTCATCAGAACATTTACAATGAAAATATTCGCAGAAACGACAGAGGGAAGCCACATCACGTAGGTAAGAAAGTGACTGAAGTCGAGATGCCAGGTCAGGATTGATTACATCACAGATCTTTCTTTGAAATTTTTCGAGAATCTCGCGATATACAGTAGGAGCACCAGTCTACATATAGCAACAGTATTTGATTTATAAATGTGCAAGATGGCTTCTAATGTGAAATATTTTGTGTCACAACACAGTGAAGCAACTTTCCTAGCAGTAAACATAGCAATTGATTCAATATAGACGATCCACTTCATGTCTGTCTGTG